GGCCAGGGCTAAGAAGTGGGCTCAGAAAGCCCCGGAGAACCAGCTTCCCTCTGTCCCTCCCACCCTGCCTGGAAACCCTCAGTGACCCACACCGGCCAGCACGGGCTGCATCCTCACCCCAGCGACTGCTCAGGGTTTGTTGCCCAGGGACACTTTCCCATGTGCTCTGCCTCTGAGTGGTGGCTTTGTTGCCATGGCAATGCATCGGCCTGGTGTGTGTGTGTGTGTGTGTGTGTGTGTGTGTGTGTGTTAAATTTGGGAGGCCCTGCTAGATGCAGAGGTGGGGTTCTAATTGGCTTAATGGTTGCTAGGTTCAACAGACTCATGATTGGCTGACTCTTTACGTGACTGCCCTGTCCCAGAAGCTTTTGGGGATGCATCGGTTGCCCTGCTGAAGTCCAGAGTGGTCTTGAGTGGTGTGTGTGTGTGTGTGTGTGTGTGTGTGTGTGTGTGTGTATTTATGTAAACACATGCACATGTGCACACATACCTATACATTTAACTCAAATGGTGAAGAGAAGCTAGCTTGCTCGGTACAGTCATAAGACAGAGTATACTGGGCTCTCTGCTGGAATCACATGGGAAAGAAATAAATGCTATTTTTCTCCCAACTATACCCAGACTGCATAAATCACTGGAAAACAATGGCCTGGGAGTAAGAACTGGCCTGTCCAGCCAAGTTCTGCCCACTGACTCATACCCCTCCAACCAACGGGGCTGCAGTGGGACCATCCACGAGCCTCTCCTGCCAAGGACATACGTGCTTTTGGGTAAGCTTCTCTGTTCTTTCTTGGTTTCCCATGTAGCGTGTCTTCACTTGACTTCTGGAAGCCTGAGAAGGGCCCTAGGCCGAACACTAATGACCTCACACCCATGCAATAGCTTTCCAGTTTACAAAGCACTGGCCTAACCACAGTCACCACTAATTCTCATGTCCTGAGAGGTGTGTGGACACTCATGCGCTGCTCATCTGGCTGAGGAGGAAAACTGAGGTCCAGATAAAGAAGTGACTCCTGCATCTCAGGGGCAGAGCCAGGTTCCGCGCCTGCTCTGCGTGGGAGGGCCAGAGGATGGAAAGGCCGAGCGGTGTGCGGACAGGAGGGTCTCTGCTGCATGGAGGCCTTCCTACGTGGATGCTGTGCCTCTGGGGGGAAAGTGGGGCAGGCTTGAATTTGGGTTTCCAGAAGCTGGCTATTCAAATGTGCTGCCCACACAGTCTGAGAGGGAGAGCGGTTTCCAGCTTCCCACTCCGCCTTCAGGCTCCCAGGGAAGCCTGTCCTGTCTGGCATATCATCACAGCAAGCAGGAGAGGCAGGAACAGAGAGAAACAGGGAGAGGGGGCTGGCTGCTGCTGAGGCCCCTGCTGCCACGCCACACAGGCCTGCCAGGGTCACACTGTCACGCAGAGAGAGCACTAGCCACCAGAGGGAAGGGGCCTGCAAGGCCCACAGGAGGGACCCCAGGAGCCGGGGCCAGCAGAAACCCAGCTAGGAGTCTCTTCCCTGTCTAACCCTCTGAAGGAGGCATTTAATAGCCACAGAGGGGAAAGAGCAGAGAGCATCGATTGGGTGCCAAGCTTACATCTCACTGAAACGGCAGCCCCAGGAGAGGGGACTGTTACCATCCCAGGGTTATAGGCAGGAAGCAAGTCCTGGGAGGAACTGCCCAAGGTCGCATCGTGCCTAGGGCCTTAAAGCTCCACTCTTTATGGTGAGACAGTTGGGCCCTCAGACACAATCCCAACGAGGGTGGGAGGAGACTGGGGACCCCAGAGGTCCGGAGGGAAGTTTTGCAAGGGCACCGGCAGGGAGTGAAGCATGGGGGTGACTGAAGCACAGGTCACAGGCCACCATGTCCAAGATGCGCATGCGCATTGGGCTCCCTCTCCACCTCAAACCCTGCCCAGGCAATGCCCTCCCTCACTCTCAGCTGGACCCTTCGCCTCTGCCTCTGCTCCTGCCCTTTCTGGGGCTCCACATAGACACCCATCCACTGCCCATCTGCATTCCTGATGCTGATGAGCCACATTCAAAACGGACCATTTCCCAGGTCCTTGTGTGCAATTCCATGCCAGAGTTGGGGCCAATGTGACAGTTCCTGAGCAGGTGGCTGGCCCCACACAGTTCACTCTCACCTCTTCTCTGTGAAGTAGTTTCTGGGTCTCCCAGTCTGGGGCAGAATGTAGGCCTTCCTCCTCAAAAGCTGGCCAATAATGCCTTAGTGCAGGAAGTTCCTCTGCGCCCCACCCCCTCCCAGGACAATGAATGAGCTATTACATAAGGACTGAGGCTTAAAATCATCCCTATGGATAAGAATCCAATATAGTTCTCAGCACACTGCAGGACCTCCACAAATGTTTGTTGAATGAACAAATGATGGTAACTATATCTATCATATATTATGTTACTGTTTTGTACTAAGCCTTAAACATACCTTATCAACCACGTAGGACTGATTTTTAGTATCTTTACCCTACAGGTTACAAAACTAGGCTCAGAAAGATTAAGTTATTTGCCCAAGGCCCCCTAAGAACTTCCAAAGCCCCTCTCTACCTGGTGCTTCCAAGCTCTATGCTCTTCCATGCTTATCCCCTGGGCCCAAATGGGTATGAGGTGGCTGAGCCTCTGTCCTAACTACCACTCAAACTAGCTCCCACCTCTCCACCCTACCACTGCTCGAGGCTAAGCCTGCAGCATTTCTCACTAGATCAGCCTCTGAACTGGGGTTTGCCTCTCCAGATTGCCCCGCCCCCATCCTCTTCACAGCTGATGGAGACTGTCCTGACCTACAGATCAGTGACACCTCCCCCTTCTAGAATGCTCCATGTCAGCACTGTTTTTTGGAGACAGCCCTGGCTCCCTAGCCACCGTGCACGCAGAAGGATCTCGACCTCCTTCCTCATTGACAAAGTGAGCATCTCTGATCTGCCTCATGATCCCTGAGCTGCCAATGCCCACAAGCAATGGCACCAATTGATCATGAACTGTACCCTCCAAAACTGTGAGCCAAAACCCACTCCCTGGCACTGTCTTTTTCTCTGTCGGCCTACTGGTGTTTGAATCCAGGGTTTTTGCGCTGAGGTACACTCTTAGCTTTTTCATTTTTAGTTTTGAGACAGAGTCTTACTAAGTCACCAAGTTGTATAGGCTAAGCTCAAATTTACAATCCTCCCATTTCGCCTCTCACTGTGCCGGGATTTCAGGCATGTGCCACCATGCCTGGTTAACCTCTGCTTTACAAATTGATGATTTGTTATAGTAACATCAAGCTGACTAACACAAGCAGTTTACTTCCTTTCCCCATTAAACCATGAGCTTCGGAAGTTAGAGACCGGATTTTAATAATCTTTTGTATCTTGAGGCCCGAGTGTTAGTTGGCACATGAGAGATGTTCAAATAATGTTTGTTGAGACCTCTTGACCTCATCCCCCTGGCTCCCCAAAACTGTGCCCTTTGGCCCTATTTTCTTGAATCCTGTAGCAAACACAGTTTCTTAGGCCACAGACTCTGCCTCCTTCACTGCCTTCCCCCTCCTATCTGGCATCTTGTTCCCTGTAACACCATACACAGGGATCGAGGATGGTCCCCACAGTCTGCAGACTCAGGATCCAGCCACATAGCAGCCCTTTAACACACTGCAGCTTCCTCCTTTATAAACTACTCATACCCAGGAAATTTGCACACTCTCAGAGACAATGGGGGTCCTCCAGCCAGTGACCCACAGGTCAGACTCATGCATGGGCCCTGTGTCTGCCTTCTGTCACCTGTCTCCAGCTGAGGGCAGATCTCAGGCTCCCGGAAGGGAACTGTCCCATTGTCAACATCTTTCTCCCCAGGGACAGCATTAAAGCAGAAGTACACCCGTGCAGTATACAGGACACAGGCCCTGAGAGGATGCCCTGAGAGGCCCACACGGGGATGCTGTCCTTCATGTCAACCCAACCTTCTGTTTGTTTGTGACCCCTGAAGTCAGATGGTGCAAGTAGAATGGCCACTGACTTGGGTTATAATTATAACTCACTAACTCTTTGTGGAACTTTGGACCAGTTCAATCTTCTGGACCTCAGTCTCCCCTTCTGTAAAATGGGAGCTGACCAGCACTATTCTGTGAAACACTATTGCTTCTTCTCCCCCTAGCTCCCCTTCCTTCTCCTTCAGCATGGGAAATTGGATCCAGGGCCTTCATACTGAGATACTGTGGTGGTCCTTTTTCAATTTTATTTTGAAGCAAAGTCTTGCTAAGTTGCTAAATAGCCTAAGCTGGGCCCAAATTTATAATCTTTCTGCCTCAGCCTCCCAGAGCCTTGGGATCACAGGTGTGCACTACCATCCCCATCTGCATAGCCCCTTGGATGACTCCCAGTGGTTTGTGGGTTTGAGCCCTAGAAGACATTGAATCACCCCTCAGGGTTGGAGGTGGGAAGGTTAAGTGACACCTCCTTCTGGACAGCTAGAGGGAGAGCCCCTGAGCTACTGCTTCTGTCAAGAAAACAGAACCTGGGGCGCTCGGTGTCAGGTGGAGGACTGGACACTTAGAGATGGGTGCTCTGGGATCCAGTCCTGGTGACCCAGTGCCCCGTCCCGGGTGATCCAGTCCAGGAGCCTCTTCTTCTAGTCAAGGTCTCAAGGCCAGCCAGCCTCCCCAGCCTCAGAGAGGAAACGGAAGAGGCACTTGGACCCAGTATCCCAGAGTGGGCGAAAGGGGTGGGCACCCGGACAGAGAGAGCCCTGGGGATTGGCAGCTGCTGTGGGCAGGGAGGGAAGGGGGGAGGGGGAAAGAGGGAGGAGTCAACTTGTACACGTGAAAAACTCCGGCGAGGGCCGGGCTTTTCCCTCCCACCACCTCCTCTCGCCCCCACCTCCTCCACCTCCTCACTTTCTTCCCCGCGCCCTTCCCCTCCCCTCTCCTCCTCCTCCTCCAGCTCAGGTTGCAGCTTCTCCTGGGAGCCGCTCACCTTTCCGGAGTGGAGGCAGCGGCCCGGAGCTCGGCCGGGACCCCAGCAGGGCCGGGGCACCGGGCTCAGTCCCCGGCGCCCGACGCGCGCTGTGAGCCCCGCGGGTGGCGCGGCGGGCGGCTCCGGGAGGAGGTCGGAGCGGGGGCACCGCGGCGCCCGGAGCGGAGCAAAGGTAAGCCGGGCGGCCCTTAAAGGCGCCGGGCTGTTTGCGTTGGGCGAGAGGCTGGAGGGCGACCCGGGGAGACCGGAGCCCGGAGGCGGTGCGCGTGTGGGGGGCGGGGTGCGCTGGAGAGGCCACTCCCAAGTTCCAGGTGCCCCCGAGCCAGGGCAGTTACGCAGTTGCGGACCCGCGCCGCCAGCATTGTCCATCTGGGACTCCTTTTGGCCCCGGGCTCCCGTCCGAACCCTACAAAGCAAAGTTTTCCTTTCAGTTGCGAACCAGGTGCTTCCAAAGCGCCTTGCTTCAGGGAAGGGCAAGGGTCAGGGTCCCGGGTGACCAGGGGACCCGAGCGTGTGGGGCCCCGATCACCGCCGTGAAGGGCTTTCTGGGTCTGGTGAACTTTCCAGATTGGCAAGCTGGGGGAAGGGGTGGTCGGGGAAGGACTGGGCCCAGGGGAGAACGTGGAAGGACACCCAGCGCCGGGGTTGCAGGGGCCTCTGGGGAATGCGCCTCTTCTCTCTGGCTCCGGAAAATCGAAGGGGCAGTGTCCACGTTCTGTCTCCCCCCATCAGAAACAAGGAGTTAAAGCAGCGGTGGGCAAGAGAAAAGGCTGGAGGAGTCACTGTACTTGGGGGAATTTGGAAGTAGAATTGGGTATGTGCAGGAGGCATGTTTTCACCCTGCTGGGGACCAGTTTCCGCGAGCGTCTGCGGGCATGTGGTGGGAGCTGTGCGAGGAGACAGTGGCTACTTTTATGTAATGAGAGGTCCACACTGCCCTGGGCACCTGTGGTCTCTTTTAATACCCTCTGATCCCTTCCTGGCAGTGACCATGAGAGAGCTAAGGCTGCGCAGAAGGATCAGGTCCCCAGAACTCCCAGGCCTTGGCTGCTGCTGTCTCCCACATCATACCTTAGCCCAGCTCTCCACAGCCTTCTCCAGCTGGGGCGTATGGCCTGAGCCCTGTGGCTCACACCGCCACTGGGTGGCCTCTGCTATCAGCACACTGTGACATTCTGTGTGTTACTATGCCTTCCCACCCAGTTCAGGCATGAAGGACATTCCTGGTTGTGGCTTCAAGGAGTAGAATCCTCAAAGTGACTTGACCGTCAGGCTGACTGGCAAGTCCCCAGAGATCCCCCACCATTGGCCTGCTGTGGGCAGGGCCTGAGAAAATGCCACCTAGGATCAAGAGAAGGCAAGGCTGAGGTTTGCATTCCAAGAGGGGCCTAGAGAGAGGGTCACTTAGCCACAGCAGAGCTCCTGTGCCAGCCCCATTCTAGGCAGCTGATGATCTAGAGGGCATGGCCAGGTCCTGGCAGTGGGGTTCCTAGGACTGTCCCCATCAGTTGCCCACACCTCCAGAAGGGTGGAAGAAGTCTACCATTCACGCCAGGAGGATCTGCTTCCAAACACATGAGGATTTTTCAGAGCCAGAGTAGACTTCAGTAAGTCGGCTTTCTGAATGCCTTAGCGGCTACCATTTATTAAATGTGTCACAACAACTTGATGGAGCAGGTATTGTTATTCTCATTGGACAGGCCAGGAAATGGAGACCAGCTTCCCTAAGGCAGAGTAGAGGTGGGACCCAGCTCACTTCCACCTGTCCCCAAGCCCGTATCCCCAAGCCTTGCCCTAGTGCACACAGGTCCCAGCGCATTCTGGTGCCCTAAGAATGAGGCTCCCCTTTGTCCTGTGCCAGGCAGAGCCAGGCTTCATCGTGAGATTCAAGAGAGAGGGGCAGATCTGAGGTGCCAATGGCCCCCAGGGCTGGGATCTCAGGAGACCCTTCTGTGTCGCAGGGATGCATGGACTGGAGGAGACAGGGCTACCTTTGGAGCTGGATTGTTTCCTCTACAGACCATCTGTCCTCTGTCTCCTCAAGCCTTCCTGTGCCGGGGCAACAGGCCCCACGCTGTACAGCAAAGCCTGTGGCCCTGCCCAGCCAGCCTCTCTTTGTGGGGTTACCCTGTTAAGGACCGCCACCACTTAATTCCTTCTTTCTGTAGCTCAGCTTGCAACCTGAAAGAGAGAGCACTTGGGGTCCTTGCTGGAATCCAGCCCAGGCTGGCTTTGTGACTCCCCTCTCCCCAGCAAACTCCTGAATTTCATTGGTCTCAGTTTCCTTCTGTGTGCAACAGGGCTTCTAAGAGGAAGGGTTGTATTAGGAATTAAGTGAGGTCACATGCAGTGCCCACACCAGTCGCAATGGTGGACGTTCACCTGCAAAGGGACTGTCCCAGAGATGGCACCGGAGCTGGCTCAGGTAGTGCCCAAGGTAGGCTTTCCTAAGCCCGACAGGCCCTGCCTTAGGCAGAATCCTTTCTGCTCTTCCATGCTTCAGATAGGAGAATGACGGTGGTGGAAACCTGATGGGGGGTCTGGAGATCTGGCTGGGGGCCCCACTTACTGGCTTCCAGAGTGAACTTGGCAGCTGCCAGCCTCCTGTGCCCAGCGCCTTTGGCAGGGTGTCTCTCCCTGGGGAACGTGACCCTCTCCTGCTGCTTGGTTATTAGCAGCCCCATCCTGCTCGGCTGTCTGTGAGGGAGGGGCTGGCTTGGATCCAAACCCACCTGATCAGCTTCCCCTATGGGAGTAAGTCACATCTCCTGCCCTTGGCCCTGTCCCCAGGTGAACTCTTCTTCCTCCTTCCCGGAACCCTTCACCTTTGCCCTCCAAACATTCGCTGCTAAGGTCACCAAGGTCAGTCTTGACCTAGCCTCTTCAGCTACAGCTCTGCACACACACACACACACACACATACACATACAGAGAGAGAGAGAGAAAGAGAGAGAGAGAGAGAGAGAGAGAGAACCCAGCTCTGCACTGGTTAGGGGCCTGGGTCACCATAGGACTGGTGGCCAGGCCTGGCAGGAGCAGGCCGTGGTGCAACAGCCAGTTGGGACAGGTGAGGGAAAGCTGTGGGGGTGTCAGCCAGGCCTCCTGTCTGTGGGGGGGGGGTCCATCTGCCTCCGAAGTCCCCGCGGCTCTGTGCAGGAAGAGATCTAGGAGGGTGAGTGAGGTTTGGCTTTGCACTGAAAAGGGTCTTGGAGCTCTCTGGCCGCATGTGTAGCCCTGGTGTCTCAGGATGCCCTAATAGACATTGGCTAGGACTTTAGCAGGCACAGTTGTAAGAGCTCTTCCCTGGAACTCTTTGTAATGGTTTCAAGTGTCGGCCCCCTGACCCGGATGAGCCCCTGTGGCTGCCTGACGTGTTCACCTATTGTTTGTATGCTGCATGTTCCTGTCTGTGCTTAAATCCTGCCTCCACCAATCAATAACTGCTTGCTTTAGGCTCAGTCACTTGCTCACCCAAGTTTGGGTTCCGTCTGTTTTGGAAGGAGAGGGTAATACTATTGCCTCCGGCCTCCAGTGAAATCACGTCCTCTATACTCAGCTTTTTGCTTTGCCTGATGTCATTATTGAGGGCTGGTGACACACGGAGTTGGCAAATTCCCTTTGACAGTTGTTGGTACCTCTGGCTTCCACTTGATATTTTCTCTAAAGTCGCGTCCCTATAGATACCAGGGCGCAGGCCCCAAATAGGAAGGGAATTCTCTTCTTAAAATGTTTCTTCCTTTGAACACCCTCTCCATTTTTACCACTGTCACATGAAGTTTTGTCAAAGCTCTACAGTGATTTTTGCCTGCAAACCTTGCTTCCCTAAAGGAGCCTACCCCTTTCTGCCTGGGGAGACCAGAGCCAAGCTTTCTTCTTAGGCCCCAGGCACCCAGCAAAGGAGATACTTGTGGAGTGATGGAGCCCAGAAAGGGACACAGCTGCCCCTGCCGCCCTCTGTCCTGGTGGGTTCCAGTGCCTAGAAGCATTGTGTGGTATGTGTGTACAGAGAGTGTCTCTCATAGCCGAAGCAGTACGGGGTCTCCAGACACAGCGAGGCCAGCAGAGGGTTACAGAGCCCCTGCCTGACCCTGACGTGGAGCCCTGCTGGCAGTGTGCTTGGTCGTGGCTGCGCCGGGGTTCACATTCTGTGCTGATGGCAGACCCGAGCGTGCTGCTGTCTTCCTTGGTCATGGGGCCCAGTAGCCATGGGGGAGTGACAGAACACGTGAGCTCCACATTGCAAGCCCACAGTTCTGATCTCAGCTCTGTCTGTCACTGTGAGTAGCCTGGGGCAGGTCTCTGCCCTTTCTAAGTGCTGCCTTCTTGGCCTGCAAAACCAGAGCGTGGACCAGGGAGTTTTTCCAGCCCCATCTAAGGTGCTGGCTGGTGGCTTTGGCCGGTGACCAGGACCCCTGGACCTGGATGCAGCCTTCTGGCCCTCCAAACTTTGGAGCCCAGCTGATGCCTGGTCCCTGGTTCTGTTATAGCTTCAAGGGCCAAGGAACCTAGAAAGCCTCACCCCTGTCAGAGAGGAGGGCGGGAGTCCCTCCTAAAGAGGTGGATGCTGAATTTAAAGAGGCCCTGAATGCTCAAGGGCAAGGTTGGCGAGCCGTATTTTGGCTAAACCCTACCTGCTTTTGTGTAACCCATGAGCTAAGGATGGCTTTTGTATTTTCTTTTCTTTTCTTTTCTTTTTTTTTTTTTTTGTCTTTTTCCTTTTTATCGGTACCGGGGATCGAACTCACGACCACACACTTGCAAGGCAGGTGCTTATGCTGCTGAGCTAAATCCCCAGCCCCGTATTTTCTAAACTGGATTGGGGAAAATTTTTTTTAAAAAATAGTATTTTATGACACTTAAAGAATTGACTAAAGGGCTGGGAGTGCATTTCAGTGACAGAGAGCATGCCTAGGATACTAACAGCCCTATATTCAGTTCCTAGCACCATAAAAACAAAACAGAGCAACACAAATGAACAAACAAAATCCTATAAAATTCAAATTTTAGTGTCCTTGGGTTTTACTGGCACACGGCCACACTCATTCATTTACAAGGGCAGCTTTGCATAGACGTAGCAGACCTGCGAGACCCACAGAACCTAAAATAATGGTTTCTGACCTTGTACAGAAAAAACTCCTGACCCCTGCTCAAGATAATCATAGTTCTCTCTAG